TAACCTACCATACATGAACGCTTGCATCGAAGAAGGCCTTCGCATCTTCCCTCCCGTACCTATCGGCCTCCTCCGCACAGTACCCAAAGGCGGCTCCTTAATCGACGGCCACGCCGTACCCGAAAACACATCTGTCTGCGTCAGTTCCTGGGGCGCATCGCACTCCGCTGCCAATTTCGCGCAACCGGACACTTTCATCCCTGAGCGCTTCCTCGACACCCCAGAATCCAAAGCACAATTTGCTGGCGACGCCAAGAAAGCGGCGCAGCCCTTCTCGACTGGACCAAGAGGGTGCATTGGCAGGAATCTGACGTATGTGGAGTTGAGGCTGATTCTGGGTGCGTTTCTGTGGAACTTTGATGTTGAGTTTGCGGATGGAGCGCCGCTTTGGGATCCGAAGGATGAGTTCAAGGGGCTGAAGGCGTATAATACTTGGGAGAAGAGCCCGTTGATGGTTAAGTTGACGGACGTGAGGAAGACGCCTACAGGTGCTTAGAGGAACTGTCATGCAGCAGCGCAGTTTTTTACACAGATAGGATATGGGCTTGCTATATGGTAAAATATAACTATGTTCTCGGTATCACTCTACTTGTGCCACTGCTTCATCATGCACAGGTAAAATGTTCAGTACGGCCACGTGACCTCGCGATAGCGCGACGCGGGGACGCCCAGGTGGCTTAGCTCCAAATCTCCTACGTCAGCGTCCACAATCGTCCGCAGCTTGACATCAACAACCATCCATGCACAGAAACCCGCTTTCTCTACTAAAGAAGCAAACACCGATCTCCTCTAAACTTACCTCCCGGGGTATCTTGCGACTGCGCGTTTCGACTATACAACACAGCCTTCTCCCACGCACCTTCCACACCCGCGCACCACTCTGCGCAGCCTACAACATGCCGCAAGATCCAAAGATCGTCAAGGTTGAGGTAAGTTCTGACTGCAAGATACACACGTAAAACATGGACTGATTTTGTATGTCTGCCTCTACAGCCACTTCCTGCCAGCGAGGCAAAGTGGATCGAGTTCCAGAAGATCTCATGGCAGGACCAGACCGGTAAAGACCGTGTATGGGAAGCCGCGGCACGCAAGACTCGAGGCAAGGCAGGCGTCGACGCCGTTGCCATCACCACGATCATCCGCCACCCCTCGCGCCCACCTTCCACCATCATCATCCTTCAGTACCGCCCGCCCGTCAATGCCGTCTGCGTCGAGCTTCCCGCCGGTCTAGTCGACGAGAAGGAGACACCTAGCGAGGCTAGCGTACGAGAGCTACACGAGGAGACTGGATACAAGGGCAAGCTAGCATTCATCAGCCCGACCATCGTTTCCGACCCTGGTCTAAGCACTGCGAATATGCAATTGGCCATGGTGGAAGTCAACTTGAAGGAAGGCGACGCGGAACCCGAGCAGGCACTGGATGACGGCGAATTCATCGAGAGGGTTGTGGTGCCAATCGATGAGCTATACGATCGCTTGGTCAAGTACGATCAAGAGGGCAAGACAGTAGATGCGAGGCTTTGGCATTGGGCTGCGGGATGGAACGCCGCCAAGACTATGTTGTGATAGAGCCTGCCTGGACCTGGGCGCAATTCCGTCACTACCTCCATCGAGGACCTTTCCGTGGCGCAATGTTATGCGCAGGTAAATGATCCCCTCATGCGCGTCATCAGCGGTCTGACCTTCGAGGCTTCATGATCACATCAAGGCGCGGTATTGCCACGGGGCTGGTAACTTGCTCACAGAACACTCCGCTTGCGGGTATTATCAAACGAACACCCAATATTCGAGACCACCTGGCACCCGTGATCAAAGAACGTGCTCTTTACCTAACTCAAAATGGCCTTTGTCGCCTTTCGTTTCCCGCTCACTCGTTTCCGCGACGAACGCTCTCAGTTCCTTGGCTTCTTTTCGTCATTCCGCCGGCTAACACCGCCTCCTGCTTCACACGTGCGATTATCGCAAGAGTCACCTGGGTCTTTGGTCGCTATGACGGTAAGAGCGCGCTGTAACAGTGCCAGTAGCGTGCATCCATTGGCGCATATAAACTGCGAACTTCTTCGTTCCTTCTCTCCCACACCAGCCCCGACTTCCCTCACCGGCAATTTCTTCCGAAAGCTATTCCTATATACAGTACTCGATCTTATATCCCCCTTTCCACATATCAGATCTCCTAGATCCTTTCCGATCTACCCGTCATCGACACGATGTACTCCTCCCGTTACTTCGCTGGTAAGTTGCCTCATGAAGTCTTCAAGCTCGACTAATCGTGGACAGTTGCGCTCGGCTTCCTTACCATGTTCACCAACGCCGCTCCCACTGATTTCAAGACTCAAGACATGTCCAAGGACTGGAGCCATGTCTTCTCCCCAGAGCACTACATGTCCTCACTGATCGAACCCGGCTCCTCGATGGCGTCTATATCCGTGCCTAGTTGGATCGGCATGGGTGACCCAGACATTCCTCAGATTCGAGGTGAACTTCGGAACCACTGTCCCTTCTCCGTCTGGGCTCGTTTGTCTATCGCTGCCAACAACTCCTTTGGAGTGCCCTGCGACCATGCTGGGGAGACCCAGATGGTGGAAGTACTACCAGGCCATCGTTACAAGGCGCCCTTCCCTTGTCAGCTGAACCAGTGTGGTCACAACAGTACGTATTTCCTGTTCATCTCCTAAGCTTCCTCATCACCTTCAATCGCTCCTGCTAACACATACCCAGTCAAGGTCGCCTACCATCCCGAGGATCGCAACGTCTACCAGATCGAGTACTCCTTGGACCCACATGACGGCCGTATGTGGTACAATCTCTCTGCCGAGGACGGTGCGCCTTTCCAAGATGTTGAGCGCTACCTCGCTGGCTTCGGCCCCACATGTCCTTTCGTTCACTGCGCGCCTGGCCAGTACGGTAAAGACCCGGTCCATGGATGTGACTGGCCGATTCAACCTGTATGCGCTACCATCGGTAGTGTTGTCGGAGTGCTCTGTGGTAGGTTGGAGTAGGCTGGCGGGTATAACGGTCGTTGTTGACTTGGAGTCGAGGTTGTTCACTGAGTGTTCGCGAACTATATAGACTTGGATATCAGAGGGCTTTTGTATGGCATTTGGCAAATGCGCAACATGCGCTAGATAGATATGCTGCGAGACACTTCGGCGTTCATGTATTAATAATCAATAACCTATCACTATGCACATCCTCTTTGTCCTGCACTCAGAGTGATCTTTGAGTACATTGCCACAATCTTCGTAGTAGAGAGGCTTATCACGTATGGGCTGTGCCAGACACATGAAGTCGACCATAAGGGAAAAGCACTTCACGCGTGACCACCTCCTTCACCGAAGCGACTTGAGAACGACAAACGTGCATGGTCCTTGAACTTGTTCGACCCACCGGAGCTTTTGGAACGGCAGTCTCATACGCTCATCTTGCTCGGCTCTAACGAAAGCATTACATAGATCATGCGTCTCATTCCACAATTCCTCTGCCATTAGAAAGACATGCCTCATCGACGCCAGCGTGTTTGCACCGCCTAAACTCATCGAGATGAGTCCCTTGACTAATCGTTTGACCGCTAATATATCTCGACCGCCCATGGAATACTGAATGTCCGGGTTCGACTCTTAGCACTCGATCGCTCATCGTCTTTGACTCTGAGCTTGGCATCATTTCTGCACCTCGACCGGTGTTGCTCAAAATGCACTGCTAAGGTGATAAAAAGATAGAATGAGGCACATAAAAAGCTCTCCCTGTTGCTCAGGATAAGCAGAGTGCGCCTTTGACTTAGACTGCGGTCTAGTCCTGGTTAGGTCACCCACCTTCCTCACCTTCACCTCTTAAAGCTTGGACGTCATTTTATCTGGCAAGACCGCCCCTCCACTCCTTCCTCACCTTCACCTCTCAAAACTTGGACTGTATCTTTCAGGCAACAACGACCCTCCACTCAACACAATCTTTTCTTCTCCAACCCCAACCAGCGTCAAGCAAAACACATCCGCACAGCTTCTCGTCAAACCCAAAATCTCACCACCATGTACATCCTCACCCTCCTGTTCCTGACTGTCCTCTCGGTCCTCTCCATCACCAACGCGACCGTCATCCCCAACTTCCCCGACAGCGCTCCTTCCATCCACCTGGTCCTCAACAACAACTGCGGCTTCGATGTCTGGGTCCGCCAGGGCGTCGCCGCAGAACCCGGAGCGCGCATGGGCAAAGGCGAGAACTGCGGTCCGATGAGCGGCAAGGACACTGAGGAAGTCAAGGTCAGCGCGGGCCAGAAGTTCATCACGCCTGTGCCTATTCTTGAGGATAGCTGTGGACACTCTGGTAAGTGAACAGTGCGGAGGTGAAGAGCAGTTTCAATGAGAAGCATTGCTAATTCATGGGAATAGTCAAGGTCGCTCGCAAGCCAGCGGATTGGCAGACGGTCTATCAGTACCAGATGACATGGGCTAAGGAGGATCACAAGATCTGGTAAGTCAGCTCTTCTCATCTCTTCTCCTCACTAAGATTTGTCTTTCCCACACCTTTACTGCCTCTTTGTACCGGCCTCAAGCCTTCCTAAATTCCATGCTAATACTCCTGCAGGTACCAACTTTCTTGCATGAACGGAAACCCTTTCACCGACGTCGTCCGTCAGATCGGTGGTCCCTACGACTCCACCTGCCCGCTCTTCCGCTGCGAGGCTGGTAACAATGGTAGCCAGTGCGATTACCCCCTCATGGCCAACTGCGCTACTGTCGGCGACGTCGTTGGCTACCTCTGCTAGGTCGAGCAGATGACAGGGAAGATCTGAGGAAGAAAAGGCTCCGACAAAGAACAAAAGCACTGCATTGGTACTGAATGGTACACGGAGATTCGACTAAATTAGCCATGAGCTCTCATGAGTCATCGTCTTCTTGTCTGGATCGGTAGTTTCTTCAACTCAATTGATCTATCTCGCCCCTAAATCTTCTTCACTCTGCCGTCCAAGTCCTTCAATCCAATAGCATGCATACATGTATGCCCTAGTTGTTCGCCGTCATATCGTTATAATAATGCACAGTCTGATCAGCGCAACCACTCGGCGTCTGATACAAATAATTCCCCAAATTGATATACAACTTCTGCCCAGCACACACATACCACGCACTCTTATTCGGCCGATTCACACCCGCAACACTCCACTGAAGATCATCTCCGCCCCACGCAAACGTACCATACGTATTCTTACTCTCCGAGAAACTAACAGCAAGCGACATGCCGTTGATCGAGCGCTCCTCAGACACCACGGCGTAGAGAAGCTTAACGGGTTCGCCAGGCGCGGAGACGAGTTGGACGAGCTGGCCGCTGACGACTTGGAACTGGCCGGCTGTTGTGTAGTCGCCGAGGAGGGCGGGGCCGGTCGAGTAGAGGGGGTTTGTTTGGAAGTATTTGTGGAAGTTGGGGGCTGCGACGCCGCGGATCCAGTAGTAGCCGCTTTGGAGTGTTTTGCCTGGGCCGGTGCCTGCGGGCGTGCTGGTGGTGGTTGGTGCGCTTGGTGAGGCTGTTGTAGATGGCGGTACTGGTATAGTGGACATAGTGGAGGGCCTGGGTGTAGACGTAGGCGCTGGTGCGGGTGCTGCGCCGGGCTGGCATTGAGAGTAGTAATCGCTGAGAAGTCAGCATTGATGTACGAGGTATTGATGCGATTCAGTCTCTTACTTGATCTTGACGCAGCCAGCACTCGTGCTGCATGTTGTCTCTCCAGACCAGTTCGTACCACCACCTAGTTTTCCATTAGTACATGAACTTGCGCCGCTTTCGGGTGAGCATACATTGCTGCCAATCTCCTACAGCCGCATAAGCAGTGCTCGCTAGCAGAGCTAGCAGAGTTGTAATCGAGCAACGCATGATGAGGCAAGGTATGACAACTGCGTCAAGTGGATAGCTAATTGCTTGTCTTCTCGAGAATATGACATTTTGAAGTACAATCCCGATACCATATATCTTCCATCTTCATTCCAGAACGCTACCACATGATGCCAGATATAGTGCTCGTGCTGGATATGATTCGGACCGTGGTCGCCGCGTAAAGTGGTTAAAGTACCCTAGGGCGACAAGCGAGCACCAGAACCCGGGTGCGAGGCTGAATAGCAATATGCTTGTGCGACGCCAAATTGCTTAATCAATATACTGGTGTTCAACTGGCTGTATCAAATCTTTGTGACTGCAGCGCATGCAGGGAATGCCGACCGAGCCTTCAAACCCGGGTACAGCTCGTATCGCGTACAATGGAGGCTTGCTTGGAAGTCTTTCTCGAAGCCAGGACGGTCGCGAAGGGTGGCAATATGATATTCCATTCTTTTGCGACAGTGCTATACGGACACTCGGATCGGTGGCTGTTCTGCGTGTGTAAAGGGTCGTCGTGCCGTGCGCGGGCTTGTCTTCAATCGTCGCTCGATCATTTGGAGGCTGTACGTGTACCACGAGTGGCCGTTCTGGAGCTCAGGCTTGGGCGAAAGCATCTCCACCCTCCCCTTCCTCAATCCACCTCAGCGACACCACTAATAGGCTCCGGTCTTGCCGAAAACACAATCTTGTACTTCACCACCTCCACAATCTCCAGCTCCTCATCCCTCACACCATCCTCGTCCCCAAGCCCACTCATCTCCACATCCTCCACATCCGTCTTTTCCCTCTTGCGCATGACACCAAGCGGTTTGGGCAGCTTCTTGCACTCGCCCGTCATGCGCTGGCCCTTGCCGACGTACATGTAGACGCGCTTCATCCATTTCGTGTCGCTCGGGTCGTTGATGACGGGATTGTAGTATGGGAAGACGAGTTTGCCGACTTGTGTGGAGGCTACGGAGGCTGCAGGCGGAGGGAAGTGGATTGTGCCTTGGATTTCTATGAGGGCGAGGCCTGAGGGCGTGTGGAGGAGCTGCGGAAGGGGGTTCTCGGCGCGAGAGGATGTTGCGGAGGAGCTAGGGGGATGGATTGGCACCGACGGCATCGTGGAGAGGCAATCGGGGCTTAGATGGGAATTGAAGGAGCACCGTGGAGTAGGTGGGGGTTGTGTATTTGTGGTGTTGGGGCAGGATAATCCCCGCCGGCGAAAACTACGCGACGCGCTGAGATCTGGTGGGGCGAGCGCGCGCGATGGGCAGGAATGACGACAGCAAGTGCGCAATAGTTTCGTCAAAATTCATCATTATTCATAGATATCTATTATGTACTAGAAGGCAACCACACTGCTCTTGCAGCCATCTAAGCCCTCTTGCCGAAGACCTTGTCGAAGCCAGTAAGTGTGAGCCTGTACTTGACGTTGTCGTTCTTGTACACGCGTTCGACTGCCTCCTTGATACCCTCTTCGCTGAGCTGGATCTCCTGTACCCAACTCTTGATGTTCTGCTTGGATGCAAGCTGGAACATCTCCTCCATCTCGGGCCTGTTTCCGATGTGGGACGCGCCCATGTAGCAACCGTTGGGTGCGAAGATCTGAGCGGGCATGGCAGGGAGCGGGTTGTCAGGGAAGCCGACCATGTGGAAGGTACCGTTGACCTTGAGGATGGAGAAGTATTCCGAGAGGTCGAACTTGTCAGTCGCATCAGCGGTGTTGATGACGAAGTCGAACTGGAACTTCCATGGCTCAGCCCAGCCCTTGTCCTTGGTGACAATGAAGTCCTTAGCACCCATCTTCATCGCGTCCTCCTTCTTGTTGGGAGAGTGCGAGATGACGTAGGTGTCGGCGCCCATGGCTACGGACCAGAGTACACCGAAGTGACCAAGTCCTCCAAGTCCGATGATACCGACCTTCTTGCCGGGGCCAGCTCCTAACCTCTTCAAAGGCGAGTATGTGGTGAGACCGGCGCACAGCATGGGTGCTGCGAGGGCAGTGTCGAGGTTGTCTGGGATCTTGAAGACAAAGTACTCGTGGCCACGGATATGGCTGGAGTATCCACCCTGTGCGACGGTGCCGTCGTTGTGCTTAGCACCGTATGTGTCGACTTGGTTGGGGCAATAGTTCTCCTGGTCGTTCTTGCATTGGTCGCAAGTAAGGTCGGCGCCAATCTGAGCACCAATACCGGCGCGGTCTCCAACCTTGACGCGGGTGACCTTGTCACCGACCTTGACGACCTTGCCGATAACCTCGTGTCCTACGCAGAGGGGTAGAGGCAGTTCCTCGCCCCATCCTCCAGTGATGGTGTGGACATCTGAAGCGCATACACCGCAAGCGTCAATGGCAATGTCGACGTCGTACTCCTCAAACTTCTTGAGGGGCAGCTGGGAAAATGTCAGTACAGCTATCAATTGGAAGATTGGCTTATTGACTAACCTCCTGGCGCTTGAATGTGCTCCAGTTCTTGATGTCGGTCACCGCGAAGGCGTCGGTGGTCTCTGGGTAGGGCATTGTTGCGTTTGGGTTTGAAGTGGAGTATGGGAAATGTTGTTGGGGATGTGAGAGAGATGATGGAGGGGCAGGTGTTGAGGGGCATGCACACGTATTTCAAGCATCGGTCAATCCGCCGCCAGCTGTTAGAATCGGCCCATGGCGTTTCGTCTAGTGAGGTCATAACAGTGGACGAGAACGAGAGGGTGCCCGCCGTTGAGGCTCCTGCAGCTCCCTGATTGGGTGGGCCTACAGCCACGAGCGCGTTGTCGCTATGGCGCGCATTGTACCTTTTTCTTGACCGTCACTGACGCGTCAGTGATCGCGACTTTAACCGTCACATCGGAGTTCTGCCAACGGTTTCGAGGGCTAGATCGCAAACCATGCCATGTCGCGCTGGCTAATCCACACTATACGCGTCTGGTCGTTCCGACCGTACCGAATTACAGTGGATATCGTCAATGCGCTTGTATAGCTCCTGTCATCTTCGTTGTCCAGATATCGTGCTGTAAGAGTGTCGCATTCGAGCGCCGGCGAATTCAGCGAAGGCGATGACAGATTTTCCGAGCTCGATCCAAACGGGGAAAGTACGACGACGTAGCTGTTCCGAGTGCCGAGCGTCATGCTTTGGTTGCCGACGTCATAACCCGGGCCTCACACTTCATCTCTCATCGGTAGGTCATCGGTAGGTGTATCCAGAGTTTGTTTTTTTGTTGCCTTTCCGTGCAGCGTCGACCAATGAGTGCGCATGCAGTAGGATATGCTCAGGATCCAGGATTGTGTACGCGGGTGCACCAAGCTAGTCCTCAGTGGCACGCGGCTCTTATACTGCTACAATGGCATGCGCATGAGCCGAGCTGATATGGATGAGCTCGTCCAGAACTTGGTTCCTCCAGTGCAAATCGGTTCGCGTTGTCAAGCTTCCGGCCATTTGCCATGCCACCTGGTACCCCGCATCGTGAATGCGGGGTGATGAACCGGAGGCTTACCCTTTTAGGCATTCCGTGATCTTGGGCAGCAGGTGCACACATGCGCTTGCCAGTAGGAACAGACCGAAGCCAACGGACTGACCGAATCCGGGGAAATGAGCGCGACGTCTGTTTGTCGGCCATGGAAGGAGCCAAACCACCTGCGCCACCTTGACCAAGTACTTCTGTCCTTCTCTTCTGCTATCCTCCACTATCTTCAAGTTACCTTGAATTACACTTGCATATCGTGGACCGGATTCTATCATCATGGCCGCCGCGACAGACAACAACTCGATGAATGCGCTGCGATTCCACGGGCAGCGTGATTTGCGATACGAGAGGATTCCGGTACCCCAAGTCAAAGCCGGGCAAGTCAAAGTAAAACCGGCATGGGTGGGAATTTGCGGATCAGGTATGGACCAAAATGTAAAACTTGAGACAGCGAGACTGACGTTGCTTTATACCTCCACGAATATTTGGGTATGTACTTGAATGACGAACATGCGGACCATAGCTGAGCACCTAGGTGGCGCGAATCTCTGCCCTACAACGCCCCACCCAATCACCGGGGAGACGGTTCCACTAACCTTCGGACATGAGTTCAGTGGCACAGTAGAGGAAGTCGGCGAGGGTGTTACTGACTACAAAGCCGGTGATAGAGTTGTCATCCAGCCCATCATCTACGACGACACCTGCGGCGCCTGCGAGGAAGGTCTGCAAAACTGCTGCTGGTCCAACGGCTTCATCGGCCTGTCTGGTTGGGGCGGTGGTCTTGCGGATCACATCGTCGTTCCAACCTCTACCCTATATCATCTCCCTGACAATGTTCCACTCGAGATTGGTGCGCTCGTCGAGCCCCTCGCTGTCGGCTGGCACGCAGTCAAGATCAGCCCTTTCAAGAAAGACGATGTTGCTTTGGTTTTGGGAGGTGGGCCCATCGGTATATCAACAATCCTAGCCCTGAAGGCTAAAGGCTGCGATCGGATCATTGTCTCAGAAGTGAGCAGAAAGAGACAGGAGTTTGCGAGAAAATTCGGAGCGCACTACATCATTGACCCCACCAAGGAAGACCTTGCCAAGCGCTGTCGCGAACTCACCGGAGGCAAAGGTGTACACGTAGTCTACGACTGTGCTGGCGTTCAGGCTGCTCTCAACCAGGCCGTACATGCCACCCGTGCTCGAGGCTGCATCGTCAACATTGCCATATGGGAGAAGCCTTGCACGATCTTCACCAACGACTTCAACTTCAAGGAGAGGACTTACATGGGCATTGCGACTTACGAGATCGGCGACTTCCAGGAAGTGATTGATGCGCTGAGCAGGGGAGATATGGACCCGAAAGAGATGATCACACAGAGGATTGCTCTTACCGAAGTTGAAGAGAAGGGGTTCAAGAGCCTGATCAACGACAAGGACAACCAGGTCAAAATTCTGGTGGAGGTTGGCGGGGGTGCGTAGATGAATGGCTTGGAAGCTGGCAGGTATCTTCCTGTGCGATTGAGTTCCCATGAGGAGAGCTCTGCAGTCTCTCTTTGAGATGCAAAATCTCTGATCATTCCATAGGGGCTTATCACTCCCTGGTCTTTTACTGTTCGATAGTTACCTCGCCCGTGAGCGGGTGACGGGTCTCATATGCCCAAGGTAGCATTATAATCACAATTTCCCAACTCTTCATCGCTGTTCCTCATTCTCTCCCCGTCACTTGTGAATAGCTTCCTGGTGTGCGTAGCGACAGCTATCACGACTCCCGACCTCTTTTCGTTGGGAAGTGAAGATCTGTTGTGAGTGCTGATTGTGCAGATCGTCGGCATTCGTCCAAACCATGTTAAAGGTCTCAGTGCGGCCCTCGACAGCCCAAGCTGATTAGTGCTGGAAGGTTAAGAATCACAGCAAGAAGTTGTGTGCATATTTACGCGATAGCTACGCAATTTGATGGAGATTCGAGGACGCCTTCCATTGCAATCTAGTATACTAAGAGCTGAACTATATAAGCCGCTACTGCCAAGTGTTGAATGAACAGTGAGCGGCAGTATCAGTCCAGGAGTTCGAAAAAGAAGATAACACTCCTAGAAAAGGGCCAATTTGGCAATGCCTCTCCTGGTTATCAAAAGTCTTAGCAAGTAAGCTTGTACGAGTTCGTAGGGCCCTTGCTCTCGCATCGACCGCCGTTCTCCTTGTGCACTTCGGCAGCTCCGCTGCAGTCGTAACTTGTGTAAAGGTTCACTGGAAGACCAGTCAGTTTGTACAGCGCGGCGATGTGGGTGTGTAGGTTCAATACCTTGGCAAGACGGCAGAGTAGCGCCGAATGTTTTCATCGTGAAGCTGCCGTTCCACATTGGGTAGCATTGATTGGGAGGGAGGTTGCTACGGCTTCCAGTGGAGCAGAAGGTTCCAGGTACCGGGGTGCAATCAGTGCAGTTCCATGTTGTGAAACCTATGCTATCATAGGCGACGCTGGTGGCGGCGAAGCCGAGGGTCGAGATTATGGCGAGAGTGGAGTGGAGATGCATGTTTGATGACAATCGTCTGGAGATCTTGACGGAGGAGATTGAGGGATGAAGTGCTGGCTTCCTATGTACGGCGGATTGATGGTCTTATAGTTCGTCGAGAGATGGCTGGAAGATTCTCATGCTAACAGTTTGAGCCTGCCGTGCTGACGCCATAAATCCTCAACATTTCGAAAGCTCATCCGGTGAGAGGCTTGGTGTACGCTGAAAAGCTTTGCCGGTTGTGATCAGTACATGTGTCCGCAGAAGGGCTTTAGATGGTTCGTATAGGTGTGAGCATTGAGAAAGAGGCGTCGATCCTGCGAGTGGGTGCAGCCAATAATAACCGCTTCCATGCTGTATGTCGGTTGGCTGACGCTGATGCTGATAGAAGCTAAGGAGTAATGTGAACAGCCAAAAGATGACTTGACTTGCTATATAGCGTGTTGGTGATGTTGGTGGCGATTGAACTATCGAAGCGAGATCTTCGTGGCTGTATTACATCCATATCGATTGGCCCACAATGGCCGCAACCCGTGTCGCGACAGTTATTATGATGAGTCCGAACCTTCGCTCAAGGCAGGCCAAGACACGATCAGAGCTCGACAATGATGAGCGAGATGGTTGTCTGTCAAAGCGTTCGCGTTAGCCTCGAAGTCTCTCTACCTTCCGTCGAAGTACAAGGGCTTGAGTCCTGTCTGCATAAGCAAAATTACCTAAAAAAACAAGAGCGCTGGTACGTGTCGCAGCGGTGTTATGGTAATGGCTGTGACCGGTTATGGGCTATCAGTAAATGTACGCAACCAAGTCGTCGCATTCCTGTTCTTCGTCATAAAGCCGATTCCATTAGCGTCTACCTGAGCTCCTCTCTTTCGCGCTTCTTGAAGTATGAAGCCCCGCTTCAAGACATCTGTAGGCTCAGCATCTCTCTCACTCTGAGCCAGCAACCACCTAGACCGAGCCCGCTCTGCCGACTAGCGGTAGCCGATGGCCGATTCTGATGGAAAGCTGCAACGAAGCTGAGGCAGATTCGAGGACTTAGGAGATCCATCAGGATAACATTATACCAAGACCTAGCTCGCATAGTGATGGTCAAGTTGATAGAAGTGTTCGTGGAAGGCGCACGTGGAAGGTGTGGGCTGCCGTTCCCCGAAGTGGCGTAGTGCGCGAAGTTTGACGCGTCTCTTCACAACGTCAGAGCTTCAAACCTCACTGCATCCTCCTCAGTCCACTCCATGACATCGCGCACCTCCCACCTGCCCGTGTCTCTCACCCATTAACATTGTGCGATTTCAATTCATGGCTGATCAATATCCTGAAGTTTGTCTCTATCACTATTGTCATCTCCCTATTGTCTTGCTATTGTCTAAATGCCCGTGATGATACGCGCTGCCTCACCAAGGAGGTCGCCCTGAGAGGTCTTCGCATCGAACATCATCATTTCTTTGCATCATGCATTGCCCCATTACTTTATGTCTTTATCAAATCATTGCGAAATGAGTCGTCTGCTTTCTTCATTCTCTATGAGGATTCGCACATCCATGAGCCTCGTCGTATGCAGATCTCAGCGTGCAATCCCTTTTCTTCAAGCCTCACCTGACCCATACATGGTACTCATCGCCTACGGTGTCTGATCGGCTGCCACTGAGGCAATCTTCATTTGACGAGGTTTGGTGAGAGCCCCACGGCTATTTTCAAGAGCATGGGAGCGACGCCTTGGTCGCGCGTCACATGGCGACGCACGATGGGAAACAGCGCATACCTTACAGGACGGAGTATTTCAAGCCAGGTCGTGCGCCTCCCGCTTCACTTCAGGCAGCCGCGCTCATACCGCTACTGTGGGGTCGTTTGCACTGAGTGAGAGCGGAGTCGCGCCCGCTTACCACGCACACTTATCAACACAGCGATATCAAATTTGCATCTGGATATAAAGAATTGGACTTACCATGGGTATATAATTGCTACAATTTGAGAGTAATACAATTATTCCGTAAAGCCTGCCTCGTGTCGCAGGTTGGTACACACCATTAGTTAAGTGTCCCCCCCAAAATGAAAAACCTCGCTGACTATCCACGTTCGAGCCCAGGTCCAACCACTCAGCCCTTAGTTTGCAACACCGAGTTGCATTCTTTGGGCTGAGTGGTGACCTGGGAGCAGAAATACGTGTTTCTCTCTCAAGTCAGGACCTGGGCTTTAAACCCTATAGTACCTTAACACTCTTCGGAGTTCTTAAATACAATACATACACCCTAGACATAAAGATCTGGGAACAAGACACCGGTGTATCTTCTTTTTTGCTCTTTCTTTTTGCCCAGCTAAGCGAAGTGAAGGCAGTGCACGAAGGCAGCTACCACGTTCCTTTCACTATCTTACCCATGCTCTCACCTACCGACCACCCGCTTACTTACCTTCCTACTATCTCTCTACATTAGTGTTCCCGCTAGCCTGTATCTTTCGGCGACAAATACCCTCCGCTACACCTTTCCCCCCAATACACCCTGCTAGATTCCTACACCATCTAGTTCTGAAGATGCCTAACCCTGCAACCCTTGTCAGCCGTGTCGGCGAGCCTTCTGAGTACCAGCTCCTGCGTGAAGTACTTCGCCGCAAACTCATCAAGGTCTCACCAGCTCTCTATCCTAATATCACGCTCGATCAAATCCTCGCTGCGAATGGCGAAAACAACATGTATCCCTACCAAGAGTAAGCATTATCGCATTGCCAAAAATAAGGTCGTACAGCGCGCTAACGATGTCTGCTAGTCATCCGCTTGCCATGCAAGTCAACATGGGCGCCACCTTAGCAGGCGTGCTTTTCCGTCGCGGAGAAGTGAAGTACAACATCAAGAACCGCGTCCCGATGGGCCAATGGAGCTTTGAAACCGCCTTGGCCTACTTCTGCAGCAACAGTAACGACAACATCAGCTTCTCAAGCTACTTTCGACAGACCCGCGCTCGCCTTTACCTCGCCGCGTACGCCAAATACGAAAACAAGGCCACGAACGTCCAGAAGGTCTACATGCTCGCCTGCGCTGAAGAGAACGGAAATAAGCGCATCCAAGACCGCGGCTTCAAGCCCACCCATTATCGCGAGCGCTTCATCCACGAGCTGCTACAGAATCCCCAAGACTTCGACATTTGCACACAGAACCGCAACAAGGGTATCCTGAAGGACATGCGGCAGCTAGTCGAGTCATGGAAGCTGGTTGAGACCAACTTCGATCCAGACAACGTCCGCCACCAGAAGCTGGCTGAGATTGGACCGGCTCTTGTCGAATTCTTCGAAGCTGAACACATCGCTAAGGACGACAAGCCGGATAGTATCCCTGGTGTCAGTCCTACCGCTGTCATCGAGCTCGATGTGACCAAGTATCAGCCCTACACCGCCGACTATCGCATCTTGACAGGCCTTTTGAAGGCTATGCAGGGTTTTCGTACCTACGAGACTGTCGACATATTGGTTGTGGACGACATTGCTGATGGGCTTGATGGTTTGAAGGTTTCCAATGATATTGGAATGGATGTCACACCGGTTGAGGGCCCAAGTCGACCTGTATTGCATGTCATGACTATGCCGGAAGTCGATCTTTCCCGCTTGGGTGACGTTGTTACGCTGAACTTCGACTAAGTAGCTGTCTGAGTCTCTGTAACGTTGATTGGATAAGGAATAGACTATTGGAAATAGAGTTGGGGTCGATACATAACTGTGGACATCAGATTCAGATATTTAGAGTGTAGATTTTCACGGTACTGGGTAGAAAGATTTCGACCGCTGGTGAGCTTGCGAAGAATCAGTCCTGATCGCCATAGTCACAAATGAAACACACATGTTCGAAACGTTGCGTGTATATCCTGGTTACTTCGATCATCTTCATCTTTACAACACATCCATTCTATCGCGCCGCTCATTCAACATCAAGGCGCGTTGTCGCATTCTACAACCGCACAGCTCGAATCTTTCGCTTTTCCGATGGACTCTGTCCAATATCCCGTGACCCTGCCCAATGTTTGCTCCATCACGTCATTTACTCTGCTAAGGTCTTAGTAAGTCGCGTAAAGTGCGCTCCCCGCGCTCTCTTCACTGCAATTGACACTGTGGGCTTACACTCCGCCACCAACATGGACGACAGCGCCGAGAATATCGAGACTATGTCGCAGAACTTGACACCTGAAGATGTGGCAGCGCTCGAAGAGCTTCTCCGCCGCAAGACCGACAGAGTACCCAACGGCCTCCGCGCCCAGCAGACGCTACCACTGGAAGTCATTCTCTCTCCTTCCCCGCAGCAACAGTACTTCCCCTATGAAGTGTGAGTCTTCGCCCATAATCTTGGGTCCAGTCATGAAATTGCTCATACTAACGACTTCATAGCGCTGATGTCGCAGAAGGCGCGACATTCGCCGGTCAGCTCAAGCATCGTGGCGCCATCGCACGGGCGATGCAATCGTTCACCCCCATGTCGGAATGGCCTGTTCAAACCATACTCGCCTACTTCACTTCCAACGTCAACCGTCATATGTGCTTCTCCCGCTACCTCAAGCAAACGCGTGTTCGGCTATTGGTCAATCTGGTGTCGCTGCTCAACAAGACTGACACACCCATGATGGCGGTACGTGTCCTCAAGACTCTACACATTACATCGATATCGTGACTCTAGACGAATGTTTATTGACGCCATCATTTAGGCCTACACACTAGCCTGTATGGAATACGCCCAGCATCCCAGTCTCGGCACCCAATTCGACCCCGCGAATCCCACAAAACACCAACTCGCCTTCGTCCAAATGCTCAAAGACAACCCCGATGATTTTATCGTCCTCAGCGGGGACTCACGCAACGAATATGTACGAGAAAAGCTGACTACCTACCTCGCCAAAGCACGCAACGCATGCCCAGACTGGACCCAAGTACCTCCTCCGACGCGCGCTTTGTTCGACTTCTGCTTCAAAGGCGGCCAAGATCAGATGAATCAGATGGCCCAGAAAGTGGTGACTAGGAAGCGGAAGAGGGGAAAGAAGAGGACCACGCCATCGGTACCGCAGGGTGATGTGCCGTTTGTGTATAAACGGGTATTGCCGCCGTTGTTCGAGTATGAGGATAGTAGGATTAGGAAGGTGTGTGCTGGGAATGCGTTGTTGGAGGGGTTAGTTGAGGGGATGCCTGGTGTGAGGGTATTGGGTGAGGAGATTGGTGTTGATGATGAATACAAAGAAGATGTTGAGGGTGGCGAGGAGCTCAAGGTCTCTGGGGTTAATGAGCCAGGTGAGGGGTTCGAACAAGGTCTAGATAACTTGGTAAAGGAAGGAGGTGGCGTTAAAGCTGTGGGAAGTGTGGATTTGACATCGTGGTATGACTGGAAAAACGTGTAGAGATGGGTATGCCTGGCACTCCTCAAGACACATTGAGCGTTTGGCGGAAGTGTTGGGTAGAGCTTTTACAATCTACATAGGTTCATAAGCCTATTCATCACTCTTGTTGTTTTTCACGAGCACCTCCGGGCTTCATCAAGAGGTGAATGCGGCCAACGCATCACGGGCATGTCATCATCAACGTTATCTCACGCTTCGGCGGTACTAACCTTCATTCTAGAGCCCTCGCACATCCAAGAGCACTGCAAGCTCAAAGCTCTGCTTCAAAGTTCAGTCGCTAGGATGCCGGAATCTCGTGATTTGGGTTCGCAGTTTGAGATCATCGACATTGGCAATGTGAGTAACTTCAACGTCATGAGCTTAAACGAGCCTGACAAGTCGCACGAGGACGACATCAAGAAATGTACGCGGATGGCGGTGAAGATGAGATGGATATCGATGACGGCTTCGGCATTCTTGACAGTGCTGATCTAGAATTGTGGGTGAAGAGGGCTGAGTCTGGTATGTAGATATCTGAGTATGCTTTGCTTCAGCGTACTTTGAGTGCTTCAGTATCTTGTAAAGAGGGCGTTTGCCGCCTAAATAGGTTTACGGGGACGTGTATCTTGCTCCATACATTTGGTGAATAGCTCCTGGGTTAGCCATACTGTACACGACATGACACAATACACAAGGATGCCTAGCATCCTTCAACACACTATCACCTCCCAAGAACGCTCCTCATCATACCCCTTGCGATCTACATATGTCTCCAACGATTGCACGCAACCTTCGCATCCTCATTGAATACCTCCTCGGTCACCTCAACACTTCATCACGCACTTCCCAACCCGATTGTAGTCCTCAACCCACTGCATGCAAAATCATCATATTCCACATATCTATCCCCTATCTAATCACCCAGCCTGATACACAGAATTCTCAGTCTTGTAATACACAGTCTTGACTGGCTGCTGTTGTGACGCATACCTTCCTCTAGCCTTTGCACTCTCCTCTCTACTCTTCGTTCTCCTATCCACCATCTAAAGAGTGCGGATCTGTTGGCTTGAGATGCCGCTTAGACCTCTCTCTGGTCGGGGGATAGTGGAGAAGCTACGATGGTGGCCCTTAATCGCGTGTTGAAGGGCTGGATGGCCAGGCCCTGAATCTGTGACTAGATGCTGTTGAGATGAAGGCTCATCGGCAGTGATGATGGGCTTTTGATCGAGATGTTTCCGAGTGCGATGACGCGAATGTGCCGAGCTAGGCTTTGTAGTCTTCGATACCGCCTTCCCGCCGCCGCTGCTATGTCGGGAGTTGATGGCTGATTCGGATGGTAGATGCGTCTCGGCCTTCATCTTGGGATTCCGGTCCTCGCTACCCCCCTCCTTCATCTCCGCGTCCCAGAACCCGACTAGTTCCGACGTGTCAATCATACAGTGCCCTTTGTCTCGCATATGCGTCTGCACAGCATTCACACTTCCCTTTTCTTTTCCACAGTAGAGACACTCGTAGTATCTGCAAACCAGAACGGCCAGATACGAGAGAAGAGACTCTAGAGAGTAGAGTCGCGAAGGGTTGGGAATGAAGAGGCTATGTTGTGTGGACATATGGTCCAGGTTCGTTGCGGGGCTTGGAGACGCGGAAGGGCAAAAGAGACATCTTGTTGACGACGCGCTTCTCAAAGAGTCGGCTTCTATGTTTTCCATCGACGATTTGGAGGTGGTCTCGCGCCCGCTGATGTTGTGCGCAACAGCTGTTCGGGGTCTCCGTATCAGAGCGTCAACATCGTTTCTCTGTCGCTGAGTGACATCCTCGCTCTTGCCTTTTAGCATTCCAAAGTCTTGTTCAGATAAAACTGGCAGTTCAGAAATATGCCTTTTGGGATTTTCGATACTGTCACAGATTGTCAGTCCAAGCACTCCCCCATCTACATGCTCAGAACTATGTCACTGCCAGGGCTGTCGCATATGTGTACGCTGTAGTGCGCTACTGGTGAAAGAGAGAGAACATGTGTTGCACGGAAACACTGTCCGCAATTCCGATGTCATCTTCGAAGTTGTCTGTGTGGTTGTTTGCTGGGAGGGTTGAGTGGAGGAGTGGTAAGTGGCTCTACGCTGAGAAGGTAGGAATGTACCGTATGAAGGCGCGAATGCGATCGGCTTCGCTCTGTCTAATCAACGTACCGAGGCATCTGTATCTTCTATAGCTAAGAGTGTCCATGTTTTGACTGGTGTAAAGGCAAGCACAAGGTCACGTGCCCTGCCGTCCTCGGCGCAGCCACCTCAAACCACAATGAGTCATTTCCACTCACTCCCACGCATACTCACTCAACCATATCCTGTCTTCCTGTTAGCTAACCAAACATCACTCTAAGCAATATCAGTCAAGGCGAGACGTTTTCAAATCCAATTTTTAATTGTCAATCATGATACCCATGCTTCCGCCAACTCTGCTTCTTCTTGTCGCTCTTCCGTTCCTTCTTGAGCTTCTTCGTCAGCCCCAGCCCTTCAAGTTTGAAGATTACCTTCTCCACCAGCTTGGTAACACTACTCCGCCTCTTTACTTGTTTAACCGGTAGAGCAGTGATACCTTGCTCTTCAACGTGCGGCTCGCCTTCTTGGCTATACTCATCCTCATCAATGTCAAAGTGGTCGGATATGGGTGAAAATAGTTGGTCAGCACTGCGGTGCACGTTAAACTGCTGGCCGTCGAAGTTCCACTTGGCCATGATATCCTCGTCATAGCCTTCGACGTAGCCCGGGCGAGACGCACCGGTGCTTTGTGAGATGCGGGGTGGATAGTAAGTTGCTATCCCGTTGATCATCCTAATACACGTCTGTTGTTCGTAGATTGGTGTTTTTGAAGATAAGGGGGCTTGGGCTGTAGGGAGTTCATTAGATGTCCGTACATGCAGGTCGAGACGGCGGCGGGGTGACGGCTGGTCATCGGAAATGACAGAGTCATGGCGAGAGGAGTTGTGAGAAGATACGGATGCCGAGGATGTGCGAGGACTTTGCTCTGCTGACCGAATGTGAGAGCGAACAGGGGTTTGCCTGTCGATGGGTAGCGATGGCAGTGGCTTCTGCTCATGCGTCGTCATGATTGGATCCATGTTCGGAACACCGCGTCGAAAGGATAAAGGCAGAGGTAGTGCTGATGACCTATCCAGTGCCGCCAGGGCCTGCTCCTCCTGTGACTTCCTTCGGTAGTGAACGATTGGCTTCATATTACCATCCCAATCGACGATCATAGTGCCCTGACTCGCTGGCCGATTGTTCTGAGCAGGTGCGATAAGGGATTGCCATGTTGCCGCATGGTCATCGATCATTTGCGTTAATTCTGTTGCAGCTCCATAACGAGAGCGAACTCTGGCATGGTGCGTGGGTCGGTACTGGGAGCCTTCGCTGTGATTGCGAATGTGACGGGAAATGTTGCGTGGTTGAGATGACTGCTGAAGAGTGCAGCCGGTGTCATGGCGGTCGGCGCCATGAGCAAAACCGTAAAACGACATAGCGTTGAGCGGGCGTGATTGTGTTGCGTTGGTGGAAGGTGTCTACTTTGGTCTTTGTTTCGATATGTTCGAAACTGAGTCTTTGACGTTGTTGGAGCAGTGGAGCAGTGTATTTACTGTGAGTTGTTGTTCCTGTGTGTGGTACGTTAGAACCCTATGGATGTTTATGGGAGGCAAGTTGTATAGACGGAGGGAGGCGCCATGGTATGTGCACAGCGCGATACGAACATCGCGTATAGTGAATTCATGTGCCCGAGTGATGCTACGACAGCGATGATCGTTCGTGCATTGTGAAAGCCGATAGTTGATGATGAATGTGACAGGCGGTGGAGGTTTTGAGATGAGATTAGTGTGAAGCGAATCTAACGCATCGTCATTAGCAAATTAAATACAATCCCGCTGGCATGCCAATACCCCACGTTTCGACATCGGTGGCCAACTTATTTCGAGCAACCCAGGTATACTATGACTGCAATCTCTTTCGTCTACCCACGTTCTCTTACGTCTCGAGATGCATATGAACAGAAATGACGCAACAGATTGCTATGGAACATGTCAGACACAGGAAGGAAAATGGTATAGACCAAAAGCACAAACTCCGTGGCGAACGATGAAGAGGAAGAGTGAGGAAGCACAGCGTATGAACCCCGGGTATTACCAAGCTCCAAAGACCCTCGTGATGGATGAAGATGGCCTGAGAGTACCGAGAAAAGACAGATGAAACATCTAGTTCTTATCCTTGCTGGATAGCTTGTCCTTGATCTTGCCGAAGAAAGAGCGGCGCTTCTTCTTCTTGTCGTCAGCACCAGAAGCGATGCTCTGACTGCCTGGAGTGCCCTTGGGAGAGACGTCCGAGTCTTTCCTGAGGTTCTTGGCGGGGCTTTCCGGGGCCAGCTGTGCGGCTGGGGCAGAGCTAGTGGCCTCGGTCTTAGTTGTCTCTACGCCGGTGGTGACGGTGGGCTGGGTCTGCTCGGTGGTAGTCGGCTCCTGCTTGTTGAATGCGACTTCGGTAGTAGAGTCGATGGGCTTGGAGGTCGGCGGCTGAGCAGGCTCCGATGCGGGCGCGTTGAGTGCGTTGGGCTCGCTGGAGGACTTGAGTGGCTTAGTATCGACAAGGGCCTCATCGGAGAGACCAGCAGCATTTTGGCTTCCTACAACAGCAGCACTGGGAGCTGGCTCGCCGGCAGCCTCGGTTGACTTCACTTCTTGAAGAAGTTCAGTCTCCATAGCCCGCTTCTCGCTGACAGCCTCAGCATTGGTAGCGGCCTCGGGACTGACGTGTGCCTCCTTTTGGCTCTCGGCGACGACATCCGGAACATCACGAGCAACGGACTCGTTGACTGATTCCCTGGTAGTGCCGGCTACGACAGCAGCAGTTGCACCGGCAACAGCGGTCGCAGCAACCGCAGCTCCCGCAGCAGTCGCAGCAGCAGGTGTGGTCTCAGCGGGTGCGGTCTCGGTGGTTGCCGCAGTCAGTACAGGAGCAGGCTCACCAGATTCCTCAGATCTTGGGAGCTTGTCCAGTAGCTCAGACTCGACGGCAGACTTCTCTGCTACAGCCTCGCTGTTGGCAGCGGCTTCGGGGCTGACGTGTGCCTCGTGTTGGCTGTCAGCGACAACCTCGGGTACGTCGCTGGAGATGGTCTCAGAAGTAGCCGCAGGAGCAGTAGTGGCTGTGGCAGCGGAAACGGCGGGGGCTGGCTCGCCGGCCTCGTTGGTCTTGGGGACCTCGCGCAACAGCTCAGACTCCATGGCAGTCTTCTCTGCGACGACCTCGGGGCTGGATGCTGCTTCGGGGCTTGCGTGTGCCTCCTTTTGGCTCTCAGAAACGACAGCTGGAATGGCAATGGCGGGAGCTGGGAGACCAGTCTCGTTAGTCTTGGGTACCTCGCTAAGAAGTTCTTGCTCCATGGCGGACTTCTCAGCAACAGCCTCAGGACTGGCTGCGGCCTCGGGCTCCGCATGTGCTGTGTTCTGGCTCTCGGCAACAATGGACGGGACCTCGTCAGCAGTGGAGGTGCTGGGCTCGTTCATGCCGGTAGCCTCAGCAGCCTTCTCCTTAGCAGAGTAGACGGCCGCAGTGAAGAGACCCGCACCAGCAGTCGCACCAGCAGCAGCAGTGGCGGCGGCAGCTTTAGCTGTGTCGCTCAAACCAGCGTCTCCGCTAGCTGCGGGCGCCTTAGAGACAGTCTCCTTCAGCTCTTGCTCCATCTCCTTCTTGTCCTGGACGGCCTCTGGGTTGGCAGACGCCTCAGGGTCGACATGAGCCTCCTGCTGGCTTTCGGTAACAGTCTCGGGGACACCGCGAGGCTCTAGAGGGACTTGGGCGGCGAGATCGGCGGTTGTGCTGTGAGGAGCAGAGGATTGGATCGTGACGCCGGTGTCCTCCTCGACCTTGGCATCAGCGCCCATGGGGAGGCTCGATTCTGGGATCATGTTGCCCATGACAGGAGGGATACCGAACATGCCACCCTTGGCATCGCGCTCAGCCTGGGGAGTGAATGCGAGGGGAGGGAGAGCGTCGGACTTCTCGTAGGAAGAGGGATCTGTCTTGACTGTGCTGTCGACGGTGTTGGAGGTCAAGGTGCTGGCATCGGGTACCTTCTCGCCAGGCGCAAGGTGGATGGGGTTGCCAGCGCCGGCAGTAGCGGGGATGGGCGCAATACCGAAAGCAGAAGCCTCTTGCTCGGGTTCCTTGTCGTGCTTGACAGTCGAGTCTACGGTGTTGTCTGTGAGAGTGCTCGCTTCGGGAACGGGCTCGCCAGGCGCAAGCTTGATGGGGTTGCCGAGGCCAGAGGTAGCGGGAATGGGCGCGACGTTGAAGGTCTGCGGTTCGCTGCCGGGTGTCTCTGCGTACGGTGTCTCGGGGAAGGCGCCAGGCACGGGAGAGTTGGACTTGGCGTCCTTCTCGCTCTCTTTGGGCACAGCGCCGGCGAGCGCAGCGGTTGTGGACTCGGGCGCGGCAGAGGACATGGTGTTGACGGGCTCCTCGTCGACGATGTCTTCGGGCAGAAGGACGTTGTTGATGATGCCGTGGCCGTCATCTTCCTTGCGCGCGCTGTCGTTGGTACACCAGTTGCCGTTTACGACAAACTGTGGTAGACGTGTTAGCAGAGTCTGCGCAAACGGGGAAGCCGACGGTATGCGACGGGAGAAGTGCGCACCTTGTACTGAGTGTGGGTCTTGGGCAGCTCGACAGTCTTCTTGAAAATGCCATCCTCGTTCTCGAGCTTGACCGTCTTCCTCCAGTCATCGAAGGTGCCAGTCACGTAGACCTCATTGGCCGAGTGTTCCCTGTGCGCGTGTAAGCAGCTGGGCACGGAAGGTGCCTAGGCGGGCGTGAGGCAGGCGCGAACGTACCAGGTGAAAGTATATTTGCCCATATCAGCGCAGCGATGGACGTGGATCAGGGATTGCAGAGTTGGGGAGAGGGAGTAAGACCTGTCTTGGGCGCAGGGAGGAGAGGTGTGGAGGTGGTTGGTAAGTCAGGATCAGGAGCTGCGTTGGGTGGAGCGAGCTAGCTTGCGGCTTGAGTGCGCGCTCGGACGGTTTGGGGAAGATGGAGCTTGCGACTGTTTCGCGCGACAAACAGCAGCGATTTCAATGCAGGCACAAACACAGAGTCAGGAGCGCGACAGATATGACTTGTAGCTGCGGAATTGGCGAGGCTGGCGGTCTGGTCGCGACAAGACGCTGAGTCTGCAAGATTAGAGACGGCGTCGCTAGCCACAGGAAAGCTTGGCGGGATGCCGTTCATCGCGCGAGCCCTGGAACACGCGGGACCGACGGCGAGCATGTGCAATGACGAAACCTCCATGGCGTCGTGCTCAATTGCTGCTACTCTTCACAATTCTTAGGCCACCGTGCACAGTTGAATTGTGCAGCGCATGCAATTCGTATCCAGCCGCCTCATCTCGCAGGCAGAGCGACACGACGGCCCCTCCAGTTTTGCTCCGCGTGCCTGTGCGCCTCACAAGGCCGGCTTTGTGCGTCATCGCCATGTCCTGGACCTGTCGGGATATCTGGGCGGATTCCGGGGTCGCACGTGAGCTGCTACCTACAGTAACCTACCACTCGATGATTTCGTCGTCGCCTTATCTCAGATACCGTCTGGAACGCCTCTTGATCAGAGTTTTCGTGTCCTTCCTGCGCCGCGTCTCAACATGTTCGAGGATAGGATTCACCGCATCGTTGCCCATGATGAAAGTGTGCCTCACCGCCAATTGCAAGGTTGCGCCTCCCATGCCGTGCTCGTCTTCGCAACTGAATCCTATTGCATAAGTTGTGAAGTAGACGGCGTTTAATGTAGAGTTGCTATTGCAAAGGACCTGCCCAAATGCTGTCTACCCACACGGTCTTGCAGTTTGTAGTGCGGTGTCTGATGGGCACCATGGATGCGCGACTTGATGACGTGAGAGTCAATGCGACACCACAACACCACCGTTTATCTTGCCAGGCGACAAGAACTCGACGATATGGCTTGTGGGATGGTCGTCATGGCCCGCAAGACAATCAAAGCTCGGAGCCGCACCTGTCTACACAACGTCTCAGCTTGATAGTTCACGACTCAAGTGTGGGATATGTTAGTGCAAGCTCCAGTGTGCGCAGGCCAGGCAGCGGGAGCTAAAGCACGGCTTGAGCAGCTATGACAGCTATCGCAGCTGTCTTGCCCTGGTGCTACAGGAGCTCAGTGGGTGTGGGAGTCACACAGGCAGTGCGCGCGGCATCCAATTGCGGCGGCGAGAGCGGGCAGCCGTCGCGTAAAAGTCGCCGTGGGAGGCTACAGCGTGCGAGGGATTCTAGAGGCCTTCTGGAAG